CTTGAGCTCGCCTGCAACTCGCCGACGACCTCGCCTGCAAAGCTCGCCCGCCACGAGCTCGCCTGAAACACGCCTCAAGCTCATCGTCGACCTCGCTTGCTCGCCTGCGGAGGTTTGTGTCTACACCCGACACTAACAATAATTTCCGTTAGTCTAGATGGAAAACAAAAACTGAGGAATCAAAATGTTTAAGAAACATCCAATGTCATATTTTCCACCAGATTCCTGTTAAATTGGTTAGAAATGAATTCCTACAAAGTAGTGACGTTTTCTATAATTTATACTACCAACACAAGGAAATGCAAATCAAACAAGGGAATAGGAAGCTATTTTATGAAATCCATACTACCTATAAAATAGGATATGAGTGTCCAAGTCCTTCCATTTATGCTAGCCATACTCTTCAATCATCATCATCAAAAACTGAGCTAAGTTTATGATTTAATTAAAAATTAATATTTTGCAATTCATCAGCCTTCGTCCAATAATCTATTTTCATATACCAACCTTTCAAATTCCACTCATCTCTCTCTCAATTTTATTTAATTGATACCTAAACTTTTGCAACGCATGAGCCAGTAACTCCCATCATCTCTTTTCAACTACCAACTTTTCAAATTTTATTTCATCTCTATCCCTAGATGGTTTCCCCATCGCTTTTTTATTCAATCCCAAAAGCCTTTCTCTCTGTTTTGCTTAAATTTTACATGGAATTCGTTGAATATTTTCCCCCCTCTTGGGTAGTTGCTCCTCCCTTTTTCCATTATTTTCAGTCATTTTGGTGTTTGTATTTGTTACTCTATTTTGTTTGTCAAATTTCTAGACAAAGCTCTTTGTTTAGCATGCTAACTTTTAGGCTGTCTGTATCTTATGCATAGGTGAGCTTAGCAGTAGAAAGGGAGCATAATCTGCAAATATTGTTCAACAGTCTGAAATCACCCATCTCAACGCTAATGATCTTATGCGTGCAGTGGCTACAAAAATGGGTAATGAACCGGAACTATCTTATAACTGTATCTCTTTCTACAAAAATGGGTAATAAACGAGAACTATCTTATAACTGTATCTCTTTCCTTAGGCTATCTTCAACCCATCGCACCAAAATGGTACAAATTTTGCACCAAAATGATGCAAAAGTCACATCAAACAGTAATTCATCTTCAACCCATTGCACTAATTTTTGTACCAAAAAAAAAATTTATTAGTATATTCTTTTTTATCTACTTTTATATTATTATTTTCTATTCCCTATATTTTTAACTATTTCAACAATTAACCCCACATATCAAATTTTATTTTGTTCACATTTTTTTAAAAAAATGATTTATTATTTAAAAAGTTAAATTAATAAAACAACAAAATATTATTTTATTAATTAAAATAACTTAATTTCTAAAATATTACATTTTTATTATTGATATTGCCAAAACATTATATTTAAGAACACAACAGAAAATAAAATACAAGAAAATAATTAAACATTAACAACAATGTAAAAATTACAAATTTAATGTGTACTTAACTATCTGAATTAGTGTATTCCTCCCATAGATGATCTATCAATGCATTACGAAGCGCAATATGAATATCTTTATCCTTGATTTGTCTGTAACGTGCAATAAATTGATTAAATCTTGTAGTTTCATCTGCTATAATATCAACTTATGGTGTTGGTGCTTCCCTCACTTATAGAATTGGTGCATAAAGATCACGTTCATCCTCGATTATCATATTGTGCATAATAATGCATGCAGTCATTATGTCATGTAATACATGTTTTTCCCAAAAACGTGTTGATCCTACCACAATTACAAATTGTGATTGGAGACCTTCAAACGCACGTTCTACATCTTTTCTACATGCTTCCTGTTTCATGGCAAAATATCTTTTCCATATTATACTCTTTTCCTTGAATAACATAGTGAGTGAGAGGAGCAATACCTTGAGCTAGATTAGAGAAAAGATTAGATGACTCCAGCACATTAATATCATTATTGGTGCCTGACATACCAAAATATGTGTGCCATATCCAAACATCATAATCTGCTATAGCTTCAAATATAATAGTTGGTGACCCACTACGTCCTACGTATTGCCCAGACCATGTCGTTGGATAATTTTTCCATTTCCAATGCATACAATCAAGACTTCCTAACATTCCTGGAAAATCACGTTTTTTCCCAATATAGAGTAGCCTAGCAATATCATTAGCGTTAGGTGTTAGTAGATACCGCTCTACGAATATCTCCACTATAGCACAACAAAATTTTGTCATGCTTTCAATTGCAGTTGACTCACCTATTTTAACATATTCGTCTGTAGCATCAGCTAGTAGACCATATACCAAGACGCAAAAAATAGTTGTTACTTTCTGTAACGGTGATAATCCTATTCTATCAAGTCAAACGAGTTGTTGGAAGTAATAGTCACGATCTTTTACTGCATCAACAATACGAAGGAACAAACTTCGTGACATCCGATATCGACGGCGAAACATATCTTCACCAAAACGTGGATTATCGGCAAAGTAATCTATGACCAAATTCTGATGCGCAGTTTCTCGATCGCGGATGATCACTGCGTGATCGGGAATCGGGCCACCATGGATCGGTTGATAGTTTTGTTGACGTAAATTATTAGCGAGGATCATGTTGTTGTTAATGTACTCGCGAATTACTTCTTCGGTTTCATCAATCTTTGCAATAATATTTTTCAGAAAATTTTCATCATCCGAAGATGAAGATGATGATAAATATGATGGACCTACAGCATCGAAATTCATTTTTGAAGTAAGAAAAGAATAACTGAAGTATGCAAAAATGGAAAAAAATAATTTTAACATAACAACGAATAATTGTGTGGAGGTACCTAATCTAGTATGCTATTTATAAAAATTTGCTTAGCTGTATACGTTGAACAATGTGTAAAGCTGAGCTGCTTTTAGGAAATAATTTCCAGCTGTTATCAATTTGTCACAAAATTCAAATTTACTTAGTTGTATACGTTGGATAATATATAAAGCTGATCAATTACAGAAAATGATTCCCACACATATAAAGTTTTCACACAATTCAATGAATGCTTAGCTGTATATGTTGGAAGATGATGATAAAGCTAATCAATTTTAAAAAATGATTCTCACTCATATAAAGTTTTCACACAATTCAATGAATGCTTAGTTGTATATGTTAGAAGATGATGATAAAGCTGATTAGTTTCAGAAAAGGATTCCCACTATAAAGTTTTCACACAATTCAATGAATAATTAGCTATATATGTTGGAAGATGATGATAAAGCTGACCAGTTTTAGAAAATGATTCCCACTTATATAAAGTTTTCACACAATTCAATGAATGCTTGGCTGTATATGTTGGAAGATGATGATAAAGCTGATCAGTTTCAGAAAATGATTCCCACTCATATAAAGTTTTCTTATAATTTAATGAATGCTTAGCTGTATATGTTGGACGATGATGATAAAGCTGATCAGTTTTAGAAAATGATTTCCACTCATATAAAGTTTTCACACAATTCAATAAATGCTTAGCTATATATGTTGGAAGATGATGATAAAGTTGATCAGTTTCAGAAAATGATTCTCACTCATATAAAGTTTTTACACAATTCAATGAATGCTTAGCTGTATATGTTAGAAGATGATGATAAAGCTGATCAGTTTGTACATAATGATTCAATTTCAAATGTTGACCGCCGACAAATTCAAAATAAAATTCAAATTAAAAAAAAACAAATTTGAATTGGCTATAAATAACATTCACGAATTCTACTTCAAACCATCCAATTCGAAGTATTTCTTCAAAGTATTTCTAATCTCCAAACCAACTATTTTTTTACAAAAAAAATGTCTCTTCGATCATCTGGATACACGGTTACTAAAGATGTGCTCATTTGTCAAGTATTCATGGATATTTCTCAAGACCCTATTATCGGTAGAAACCAGTCTCGAGATGCATTTTGGTCTCGTGTGGAAGACAGATACAATGAACTTCGATATCAGCATTTTGAGGATCGTACGAGCCGATCAGTTCGTTCTCGAATGGAAATCATAAGTAATGAAGTAAGGAAATTAAATGCTTGTTTGAGACAAGTAGAGAATCTGAATCCAAGTGGTGCTTCAGATGAAGATATTACAAGTATTCTATTAATTATCTTTTAAAATTTATTATTATTGTTGAAATACATAACTTGATGTTCACTATAATTTGCTGTTAGTTTGAGCAAAGATGTTATTTATGCAAGAACCAAAGTACAAAAAAGGTTTCAAATTTGATCATGCATGGAATATGGTTAAAAGTTTTAAAAAATTAAAAGATGATCTCCTCACAACAAGACAAGTTGGTCGAAGACAACCCCAAAGTGTGAACTTCGACTCTTCACAATCAGATAATCCCACTCCGGAATCTCCTATATCAACATCTCCTGGACTGTCATCATTTACTCCACCTGAATGATCTATTGGGGTAAAAAAAGCCAAATTGAAAAGGAAAAATGATGATCATGAGTCAAGTGTAGTGGACTCCATCGACACAAATAACAACAGACTTATAGACAGGTTAGATAAGACGAGCTTGGACATGCAAGTAGCATTTGATATCGAATGAGAAAAGATAGCCATGAAAAAAGATAGAGATGAATGAAAAATTATAATGAAAGATTTGAATTTCATTGCTGATCCAAACATATGTGAGTACGTTCGAGCTCAACAAATTAAAATAATACAAAAAAGAAATTAACAAGAACAATGAGCTACTTTTAATTTTGGCAATTATTTCAATGATATTGGAGACTCTAGATCCGATCTACCAGATTATTGAGAGTTGCTTGTCCATCTTATGTAATGTTGTATGTTTACTTTATATTTTATGTTTTATTTTAATAAAGTTTTATATTATATGTGACAGTTTTTATATGTTATGTATTTCAGTTATGTAATTTATATTTGAATTATGTATTAGGATTGCTCTTTATATTTTTAATTTGTATTTCATGGGACTTTAATTATAATGTCTAGATTTTAATATTATAATTAATAATAATGTACTGTAAATTTTAACATTATTTTTATTATTAAAAAAATAATTTATTTTGTCCAAATTATACAATTAGTGTAAAATTATAAAATTTAAATATTATTGGGGTCGTTTTATAAATTTAAATAAAACAGTTGGGGTCAAATTAAAAATACATAAAATTAAAAGGTAAAAATAAAAAGTTTAAAAAATAAAATAAAAATAAAAAAAGGAACAGTAATGCATTGAGGGACAGTGCGACGCCATATTTGACGTCGCACTGATAAAATTTGTTAAAATACCGCAAGAAATGTGGCTCGATTGGAGAAGAAACGCAGCGGCAAATGCACTGTTTGCGGCATTTTGCCACTGCGTTGGAGATGCCCTTACGCAGTTAAAGAATGATGTATAGTCATTATCAGCCTAATGTTTTGTTAAGGCTTTTATAGATGACCATTAATTGCTTTCCCTCTTTCTTCTTTCAGGATTTTATATTTTTTCAAATCAACACCCATATTTTTTTTTTCCACTGGCTCTTCTCTCTCTTTGTGTCGCTAAATTTTGATTGACCATAAGAATGGAACGAGTTGTATGGTTTATTGAGAAAACCCAATTGGGATTTGTTAAATATAGGTTTTCTATGCCTTGCTTTGCTTCAATTATTTGATATCAGAGTTTGAGGATTTTTGTTTTATTATTAGTAATTTTAATTTTTCATTTTCGTTTGAGACGGTTTAATTGGGTTACAACAATTTGGAGGAAGTGATGGGCGAGAATTTAGGCTCAACCAAGCAAGCTCTGTGGCCGATTTCGAAGTCATGTATCACAAATCATTACTACAGTTTTCAAAAGTGCCAGATCTGGGATATGAATTGGCGACACTGGATTGAATGGAAGTATTGATTATTAACCTCTGTTTTGGAGTAGGTCATGGTTTTAATTGTCTTTTCTTCTTATAGTTTATTTGTTTTGCTCATGTGTTGAGAATTAATTTTGTTTTCTGGGTTAAAATCAATTTATATGGAAGCTAAAAGAAGAGAGACAAAGATAAAATGCACTCAACGAAAGTAAATACTTAAACAAAATCTACTTATTACGCAATCAAACGCAATACTGATACATCATGTATACTTGTCTAATACATCTTTGGCGTCCTAGAAGCTCTGGGTACATTTAAGGAGCAACATAACAAGCATTCAAGTATCATGGTTTTTTTTTTTTTATCTAATACGTGTTGGTACATGTTTGTCATAGAATTAATATATTCAAAAGTAATAGAGATTTACTATACGCACGAATTCAATTTTGTTGATTTTATTTTCATTTTTATGTTTTTATTTCTAAGATCCTTCTCCATGGCCAGTAATTCATACACTAACTAAGCACGTGCAGTACACTAGCGGATTTTAAGGGTGGTCGCATCAAGAGGTTTTCTTTGGTTTTCCAAGTGAACCAAACAGCCCTACGAGAATAGGAAACATGTGCATCAATGAGATGGACTGTGGGCAGTGGCGGACCTGTTCTTGTTCAAAGTGGTTCATTTGAACCACCTCAGATTTTGAAATAGTATATATCTTGTTCAAAGTGGTTCATTTGAACCACCTCAGATTTTGAAATAGTATATATATCATATATGTTAGTTTGTGAACAAATGTAATTTGTAGCCTAGTGGTATAAGCATTAGCTTACCTTCAAAGAGGTCAAATGTTCAAAACCTCTTACAGCCTCTTTATGTTTCTAATTTCTCCTATAATCCTTATTTTCTCTTTACTTTTCTACTTTCTCCTATTTTCTCTTTATTATTATTTGTTTATTATTTTTATGCTTTCCTTAGTAGTATTTGAAAAAAAAAATTAGCGTTAATTTCGAACCACCACACGAGAGGTTGTGGATCCGCTACTGACTGTTGGTAAAGTGTTGTGATTCGAAAGTAATAGATTAAGGGAATCGAAGCTATGAAGAAAAGAATAATTTCATGCGTGAGGACGTGGAAAGGACTGTCACAAGCTACACAAAATTTTGACAGACGGGTTTGCCTTGGGAAATTGGAAATGACGAGAGTATATATCATTATTTTTTGATCAAGGACGTATGGCTTGAAGAAGGTCTGTTAAGCATCGCGACAGTAATTACAAAGTCGGTAACGTCACTATAGATGGTAATTGGGAGGAGCTGGCCTTGTCCATAATGTTTTATCCTATTACAAGTGAGCCAATATTCATAGCGAGGGGGGACATCACGAGC